GGCCTCCGTTTCGTCCCGTTATGTTCCTATGCGAAAGGCCAAGGTCACGGTATTGTGGGGTTATAGGCGTCCAGGAGCTGACCAGGTTGCGAATGATGTCCCAGAAACAGCTTTGGGAAGCATAATGCTTTTCCAAGAACAGCTAGGAGGAGTTTCAACCCTCAAGCTTAACTCGAACCGCGAGTATGAACACATTTACAGAGGAGAAAATGGCATCCGAGAGGTCGTAGGCCCATCTTCAGGCAAGACAGTGCATCAGTGCACAGGTCAAGCAAAGCTTAAAAGCGGTGCAAGGAGACTGTGACAGGCGTTTGTGGCAAGACCACATGCCAGGCACCTCATCGGATCAAAATTTCATAAAAATTTGTTGGTTATGCTGAAATTTAGGCTCGTCGAAACGTAGCGCTGTTCCAGCCTCGAGGAGCTCACGACGCATGTCAAGTCAGTCTGGATTAACTTTGAGCCTGCTATGCAGCCAAACATGCCGGTTGGCATGCCGCAGCATGTGTTCATGTGTTTGCCTATTAAATGGGGAGCACATTGAGGGGTCACAAATATATCAAGACGTAATGTACTCTGTTTCACATGCAAATATAATGTGTGAACGAACTTGTGAGACACCCTGTATGTGACCTGGCCTGACCCAAAGTGACTGGGGCTGACCCCTTGACCCGTCTTGACCCCGTATCAGCCAAATTTCATCCAACAAAGCCCTCAGAACAGTTCTTTTTTAAATCTCTTCACATTTCCGTCCATATCTATGCTTCTAGACGACACATCGATTTGAATCGAACACCATTCGAAAACAAATTGGCTGGTGCCGCAATTTTTTCCTACCACGCAGCAAAGCAAGTGGCGCAGCCGCTTGTTTAAATATCCATTTGAGTAGGATTTCGGGTTTTTTGAAACGCTCAGTTTTTGCAGCGAGCTTTTCCTGTTAGGGCTTGCGAGATACCCGCGGAAACACATATCTCTTCAGCATTGCGCGCCACACAGGAATGCGGCTGATTCACGTGCTTTAGTGAGCGAGGTGCTTCCCTCCGGGAGAAATTCGCCGTCCCCATATGCTTAACACAGAGCCGAGCGGCGGCTGACAGGTGGCCGGCTCTCGGAAGATCGGCAGCCGACACTCGAAAAATCGACAAACCGCCGCTGAATGCGCGTGCGGCAGTGCTGAGCCGAGTCGTTCCCACGGTCTGGCGGCCAGCTGGGTGGGGGCGGGGTGGGGAGTGGGGCGGCCGATTGCCAGCCGCTTCTCCACGGGCAGGTGCTGCCATCTGCGCAGTAGTTCCACTGGCGGCCGCCAGGCCCGTGCGGCAAGCGGGCCGTCTGCTTTAAACGTCGGAAAGAATCAAGTTCTTTGCGGTATTTAGGCAAGTAAATACCAAGTATTTTAGAACAAGTTCTTTGCGGTATTTAGGCAAGTAAATACCTTTGGCAGGTTTTCAGTACATTAGCAAGTTTTCAGTACATTACCAAGTAGCAGGTGATACAGCAAGCTGAAAGTTCAACAAGTTTTTCGCAAATATCTAAGCTTCTAGACGTCCGATCAACACGGGACGAACACCAATCGGTCCCAAATTTTCTCCTTAATCATTTTATGGCCAACGCGACGCGGAGCGAGCCAAGATATCTTGTTTACTTACTATTTGAGTAGGATTGCGGGTTTTTTGAAGGGCTCAGTTTTTCAAGCGAGGTTTTTCTCTTGGGGCTTGCGAGATAGGACGTGACAGACGCATTCACTTTGCATTAGCGTTACAGACGCCTTACGGCACGTGCGGAATCGACTGGGGCACCGTCAGCGGCGCAGAAACGACCAGACGTACGCAGGTTAGTAGAAACGAGTGTGGCTGAAATAAAGCCGTATGACCATGTCCGATGTGATGGAATCAAACGAGACGATTTTTACAAGTTGTTTGCCACCGTCGAAAAAACGAAAAATTCAAATCTCCCTCTTCTCCCCCTGTCTCGATTTGGTAGCTACCAACGTTGGTATATACTAGGTTGCGAAAATAAGTACGATAAAAACAAATATTTTGCCTAGCACAACTCTTTTATTCAAACCAACAAATTAATTCTAAAACATCTGTAAAGAAGAAATGACGCGATACATGATTCTTTTCAATTTAGCAAAATCCATACCAGAATTCATCCCAAGGCCGTTAGTTGTGACTAGATCCCCGCTCGGCGCGGCTCCTCGCCGGCCATCCACGTCCGAAACGGCCGCCATTATAGGCATCGACACTAGATGTGAACGAAATTAATACTTTTCACGCTTGCAACCACGTTAAATGTAGTTTAAAACATTCCTCTAATTAAATTATCAAGTTTAAATTAACGGGCCAGGCCGATTTGTGCAGTAAAGTAATCATTTCGATGTGATGGAGGAAGTGCACGGCCGGCCACCATTCTCTCAGTTGCTCTCGGCCGGCGAATGCAGCGGAAGATACGCGATTTTGAAAATTCGCAAATAAATAGAAAATCAAGTGCAAGTGTCCAGAAAAGTAATCCACGACGTAAAAGTGAGTGTCGTGAATGCTGTGGAATAGTTTTCGTGAGAATCGGTTCGTTGAAATTGACAGAAATTCGTTGGCATTTGAGTAGGATTTCGGGTTTTTTGAAACGCTCAGTTTTTGCAGCGAGCTTTTCCTGTTAGGGCTTGCGAGATACCCGCGGAAACACATATCTCTTCAGCATTGCGCGCCACACAGGAATGCGGCTGATTCACGTGCTTTAGTGAGCGAGGTGCTTCCCTCCGGGAGAAATTCGCCGTCCCCATATGCTTAACACAGAGCCGAGCGGCGGCTGACAGGTGGCCGGCTCTCGGAAGATCGGCAGCCGACACTCGAAAAATCGACAAACCGCCGCTGAATGCGCGTGCGGCAGTGCTGAGCCGAGTCGTTCCCACGGTCTGGCGGCCAGCTGGGTGGGGGCGGGGTGGGGAGTGGGGCGGCCGATTGCCAGCCGCTTCTCCACGGGCAGGTGCTGCCATCTGCGCAGTAGTTCCACTGGCGGCCGCCAGGCCCGTGCGGCAAGCGGGCCGTCTGCTTTAAACGTCGGAAAGAATCAAGTTCTTTGCGGTATTTAGGCAAGTAAATACCAAGTATTTTAGAACAAGTTCTTTGCGGTATTTAGGCAAGTAAATACCTTTGGCAGGTTTTCAGTACATTAGCAAGTTTTCAGTACATTACCAAGTAGCAGGTGATACAGCAAGCTGAAAGTTCAACAAGTTTTTCGCAAATATCTAAGCTTCTAGACGTCCGATCAACACGGGACGAACACCAATCGGTCCCAAATTTTCTCCTTAATCATTTTATGGCCAACGCGACGCGGAGCGAGCCAAGATATCTTGTTTAAATATCCATTTGAGTAGGATTTCGGGTTTTTTGAAACGCTCAGTTTTTGCAGCGAGCTTTTCCTGTTAGGGCTTGCGAGATACCCGCGGAAACACATATCTCTTCAGCATTGCGCGCCACACAGGAATGCGGCTGATTCACGTGCTTTAGTGAGCGAGGTGCTTCCCTCCGGGAGAAATTCGCCGTCCCCATATGCTTAACACAGAGCCGAGCGGCGGCTGACAGGTGGCCGGCTCTCGGAAGATCGGCAGCCGACACTCGAAAAATCGACAAACCGCCGCTGAATGCGCGTGCGGCAGTGCTGAGCCGAGTCGTTCCCACGGTCTGGCGGCCAGCTGGGTGGGGGCGGGGTGGGGAGTGGGGCGGCCGATTGCCAGCCGCTTCTCCACGGGCAGGTGCTGCCATCTGCGCAGTAGTTCCACTGGCGGCCGCCAGGCCCGTGCGGCAAGCGGGCCGTCTGCTTTAAACGTCGGAAAGAATCAAGTTCTTTGCGGTATTTAGGCAAGTAAATACCAAGTATTTTAGAACAAGTTCTTTGCGGTATTTAGGCAAGTAAATACCTTTGGCAGGTTTTCAGTACATTAGCAAGTTTTCAGTACATTACCAAGTAGCAGGTGATACAGCAAGCTGAAAGTTCAACAAGTTTTTCGCAAATATCTAAGCTTCTAGACGTCCGATCAACACGGGACGAACACCAATCGGTCCCAAATTTTCTCCTTAATCATTTTATGGCCAACGCGACGCGGAGCGAGCCAAGATATCTTGTTTACTTACTATTTGAGTAGGATTGCGGGTTTTTTGAAGGGCTCAGTTTTTCAAGCGAGGTTTTTCTCTTGGGGCTTGCGAGATAGGACGTGACAGACGCATTCACTTTGCATTAGCGTTACAGACGCCTTACGGCACGTGCGGAATCGACTGGGGCACCGTCAGCGGCGCAGAAACGACCAGACGTACGCAGGTTAGTAGAAACGAGTGTGGCTGAAATAAAGCCGTATGACCATGTCCGATGTGATGGAATCAAACGAGACGATTTTTACAAGTTGTTTGCCACCGTCGAAAAAACGAAAAATTCAAATCTCCCTCTTCTCCCCCTGTCTCGATTTGGTAGCTACCAACGTTGGTATATACTAGGTTGCGAAAATAAGTACGATAAAAACAAATATTTTGCCTAGCACAACTCTTTTATTCAAACCAACAAATTAATTCTAAAACATCTGTAAAGAAGAAATGACGCGATACATGATTCTTTTCAATTTAGCAAAATCCATACCAGAATTCATCCCAAGGCCGTTAGTTGTGACTAGATCCCCGCTCGGCGCGGCTCCTCGCCGGCCATCCACGTCCGAAACGGCCGCCATTATAGGCATCGACACTAGATGTGAACGAAATTAATACTTTTCACGCTTGCAACCACGTTAAATGTAGTTTAAAACATTCCTCTAATTAAATTATCAAGTTTAAATTAACGGGCCAGGCCGATTTGTGCAGTAAAGTAATCATTTCGATGTGATGGAGGAAGTGCACGGCCGGCCACCATTCTCTCAGTTGCTCTCGGCCGGCGAATGCAGCGGAAGATACGCGATTTTGAAAATTCGCAAATAAATAGAAAATCAAGTGCAAGTGTCCAGAAAAGTAATCCACGACGTAAAAGTGAGTGTCGTGAATGCTGTGGAATAGTTTTCGTGAGAATCGGTTCGTTGAAATTGACAGAAATTCGTTGGCATTTGAGTAGGATTTCGGGTTTTTTGAAACGCTCAGTTTTTGCAGCGAGCTTTTCCTGTTAGGGCTTGCGAGATACCCGCGGAAACACATATCTCTTCAGCATTGCGCGCCACACAGGAATGCGGCTGATTCACGTGCTTTAGTGAGCGAGGTGCTTCCCTCCGGGAGAAATTCGCCGTCCCCATATGCTTAACACAGAGCCGAGCGGCGGCTGACAGGTGGCCGGCTCTCGGAAGATCGGCAGCCGACACTCGAAAAATCGACAAACCGCCGCTGAATGCGCGTGCGGCAGTGCTGAGCCGAGTCGTTCCCACGGTCTGGCGGCCAGCTGGGTGGGGGCGGGGTGGGGAGTGGGGCGGCCGATTGCCAGCCGCTTCTCCACGGGCAGGTGCTGCCATCTGCGCAGTAGTTCCACTGGCGGCCGCCAGGCCCGTGCGGCAAGCGGGCCGTCTGCTTTAAACGTCGGAAAGAATCAAGTTCTTTGCGGTATTTAGGCAAGTAAATACCAAGTATTTTAGAACAAGTTCTTTGCGGTATTTAGGCAAGTAAATACCTTTGGCAGGTTTTCAGTACATTAGCAAGTTTTCAGTACATTACCAAGTAGCAGGTGATACAGCAAGCTGAAAGTTCAACAAGTTTTTCGCAAATATCTAAGCTTCTAGACGTCCGATCAACACGGGACGAACACCAATCGGTCCCAAATTTTCTCCTTAATCATTTTATGGCCAACGCGACGCGGAGCGAGCCAAGATATCTTGTTTACTTACTATTTGAGTAGGATTGCGGGTTTTTTGAAGGGCTCAGTTTTTCAAGCGAGGTTTTTCTCTTGGGGCTTGCGAGATAGGACGTGACAGACGCATTCACTTTGCATTAGCGTTACAGACGCCTTACGGCACGTGCGGAATCGACTGGGGCACCGTCAGCGGCGCAGAAACGACCAGACGTACGCAGGTTAGTAGAAACGAGTGTGGCTGAAATAAAGCCGTATGACCATGTCCGATGTGATGGAATCAAACGAGACGATTTTTACAAGTTGTTTGCCACCGTCGAAAAAACGAAAAATTCAAATCTCCCTCTTCTCCCCCTGTCTCGATTTGGTAGCTACCAACGTTGGTATATACTAGGTTGCGAAAATAAGTACGATAAAAACAAATATTTTGCCTAGCACAACTCTTTTATTCAAACCAACAAATTAATTCTAAAACATCTGTAAAGAAGAAATGACGCGATACATGATTCTTTTCAATTTAGCAAAATCCATACCAGAATTCATCCCAAGGCCGTTAGTTGTGACTAGATCCCCGCTCGGCGCGGCTCCTCGCCGGCCATCCACGTCCGAAACGGCCGCCATTATAGGCATCGACACTAGATGTGAACGAAATTAATACTTTTCACGCTTGCAACCACGTTAAATGTAGTTTAAAACATTCCTCTAATTAAATTATCAAGTTTAAATTAACGGGCCAGGCCGATTTGTGCAGTAAAGTAATCATTTCGATGTGATGGAGGAAGTGCACGGCCGGCCACCATTCTCTCAGTTGCTCTCGGCCGGCGAATGCAGCGGAAGATACGCGATTTTGAAAATTCGCAAATAAATAGAAAATCAAGTGCAAGTGTCCAGAAAAGTAATCCACGACGTAAAAGTGAGTGTCGTGAATGCTGTGGAATAGTTTTCGTGAGAATCGGTTCGTTGAAATTGACAGAAATTCGTTGGTAAGACAGCGCTGTTCTGCCGGCGGCCATGGCGAGCGACGTGCTGAGAGGGTGAGAGAGGGATTTCAATATTTGTGTGCGATTAGGAGCTGAAGGGTGGTTTATAATTATCTGTTAATTATTTAATCAAGTTTAAAGTGACCGATTGGGCGCTTTCTACACCGGAAAGCAATTTATTTCCTCATTTAACTGGCGGCATTGAGCGTTGGTAACCAGGCGAAAAAGTATCTTGCAAAAAGGCGACGTCCGGTGCCCACCGGTGACGTCACGTTACGTTAAGCAGCCGCCGGCAGCCAATCAGGTGCTGGATTTTCTTCCTCCGGTGACGTCATCCATTATATAGAATGTATATACAATTTGATAGGCAATGATTAGGTGGGATGTTTGAGCAAAGCAATTGAGGGAACCTAGACTTATTTATGGTGAGCAATGTTAATTTCACTGGTGGAAAACATTGAAAGCTTTTTTCTGAAATGGTTTAAGGGTAGGTTCTGTATGTTTCATCAAAATATTTTGAAAGTTTCTCCTGGTATAGCCAAGATGTGTAACGCGTTTTGCCAGGGTGATCAAAATTTGATGTCGTGCCAGCATTCCGGGGTAGAGTATTTAAGTAGAAAATCAAGCGCCGGTGTTCCCAAGTTTTCAAATATTGTTGCACATGAATATAGAAAGGTATGTGGGCAAGATTTTCGAAAATATTATCATAAAATGATGCTAAATTGAGCTTGGTTATAAAACATTCCAAACTGAGAAGCTTATTGTTCTGAAATGCTATTAAATGGATACCTACATCATTTTTTCGGGGTAAGCTCAAAATTGTCTATATATACGTATAAATTTATATAAATATAATTGTAGAAATCCGAGCCGAGCCGAGACGAAGACGAAGACGAAGACGAAGACGAAGACGAAGACGAAGACGAAGACGAAGACGAAGACGAAGACGAAGACGAAGACGAAGACGAAGACGAAGACGAAGCCGAAGCCGAAGCCGAAGCCGAAGCCGAAGCCGAAGCCGAAGCCGAAGCCGAAGCCGAAGCCGAAGCCGAAGCCGAAGCCGAAGCCGAAGCCGAAGCCGAAGCCGAAGCCGAAGCCGAAGCCGAAGCCGAAGCCGAAGCCGAAGCCGAAGCCGAAGCCGAAGACGAAGACGAAGACGAAGACGAAGACGAAGACGAAGACGAAGACGAAGACGAAGACGAAGACGAAGACGAAGACGAAGCAATTGTGCTGAAATAAGCTGAATGGAATCTGAATTCATTTCTCAGCATGGTTAGGCACCTACTTAGCAGTAAGTGGCGCGAGTACTAGACAGGTGGTTAGGACAAAGTTTTTAAGATTTGTGTGCGATTAGCAAGAGTGCTGTGGGCCTGTGGTAGCAACTTATGTTTTCTTGAATTGAAAAGATAAAGTAGCGAGTTAGGCTTATTTTCAGCGCATATTGACTCTTTGATTTGTTTTAATTGCTGCACAGCGTAACGCCACGAATCTCCATAGGCGGTTTGTCCAGCGGCTTCGAGTGACGTCATTGGAGGCTGGCCTGAGTTTGTAAGCAGCGGGCGGGGACACAAAAGTCCGATTTACACGGGACCAACACTAATCGATTCCAAATCTTATGTCCTGCCAAGTTCCAAGTACCAAGTACTCTGACAATTACCAAGTACTTATACAAAGTACCTACCAAGTACTTATGCGGTGTTTCTCCAATATCTCAACTTCAGAACGTCAGATCGGCCTGGAACAAACAGTGCTGGATTCCAGATTCAATGCCCAACTCATGAAACCTTTGTGACCTACCATGACCCATCGTGACCTCATATGACCCAAATGGCCTGACCGTGCCTAACGTGACCAGCTTGATCTGGACTTGACCTATCGTGACCCTAGGTGACCTCTGTGCCATGGCCTGACCCACCGTGACCTGAGGTCAACCCAGTGACCTGACCTGGCCCATCGTGACCTAATTGACCTGCCCTAACCTAATGTGACCAGTTTGACCTGCATTTACCTATCATGACCTAAGGTGACCTGTGACCTGGCCTGACCCATCGTGACCCGTGACCTGTGGTGACCTGTTGTGACCTAAGCGACCCCTGTGACCTTGCATGATCCGAGTTAACCGGAGACCTGACCTGACCCATCGTGACCTGGCATGACCAATGGTGACCTGACGTGACCTATCGTGACCTGGGGTGACCTGTTGTGACCTAAGCAACCCCTGTGACCTGGCATGACCTATCGTGACCTGACCTGACCTTTCGTGACCTGGGGTGACCTATCGTGACCTGAGGTGACCTTTCGTGACCTGAACTGACCTATCGTGACCTGGGGTGACCTATCGTGACCTGACCTGACCCAAAGTGACCTTATTTGACCCCTGTGACCTCAAATGACCCCTTTGAGCTCAAATTAACCACTAAAACACCATTTAGCACATATCTAGACTTCTAGATGTCACAATTACTCGAAATTAACATCACTCGAACTGGCCAATTTTGCCAACAATTTCTCAATTCCACACCATTCGATCCCAAATTTTATGTCCTTTTGCGCCGCGAAGCAAGCCAGGATCCACTAGTCTAACTTACTATTTGAACAGGATCCATCTGTTTGTCTGTCTGTCCGCCACGTCGTGTAGTGGGCCCAATTTAGCCGGCCTACAGGGCAGACGGTATATCGTAGGGGGTTGAAATTTGCACACCTTCTAGGTGACGTAACGGGTCAGCGCCTTTTCTAGGTTCCGACTCGCTGGGGTGCACGGTTCGCGCGTGGAGCGCGCCGGAAGAACGCCAATGAAATTTTGATCGGTTCGTAGATCTTCATTTAGAGCCGGGGTCGACAAACTTTGTGAGCTAAATGCATGCCGATCGGTGGCGGGTGCCTCGCATTGGCGGATCGGCAAGTTTTAATTTGAATAAATAGTGGCGAGAGATTGTGTAGATTTTCGTTCGATGGAAACAGTTTGTGATACGAGTATACAAATGCACCGTGTTTGCCGCAATGCGCCACTTTAGTGACAAGGCGCCATTTTTGCCGCAAATCGCATAGTTTTGTCAAATATAGTCCGATATGGGTGCAATTTGGTGCCAGGATGCATGCTCAAACAACAGGTAGAGATGCGCCGCATTTGCCGCAATGCGCCACATTTGCCACAAAGCGCCATTTCCGACAAAATCGAGTAAGGGCAATGGAATGGCACGAATTATTCTGTGACCTGA